TAGAGATGAGGTCTCGCCTGCCCAGGCGGGTCTCGAACTCGCGAGCTCAGGCAATCCACTCACCTCAGCCTCCCAAAGGCACGGGATGACAGGCTGAGTCACCGAGCCCGGCTGAGATTGACTTTTTCAAGGGTCATTGGGGGACCCTTATGGAGGTGAGACAAGTTGAGGACCAGAGGCTGAGAAAAGGCGAGGAGCAAAGGGAGGAGGAGTCTAGGCGGGGCAACAGCAGGTGTGAACGCTTCTAGTGATCAACGCTCGGTCTGGTCAACCAAGAGGAAAGAGAGGAGTGTGGTTGCGTGGTGGATGTGAGCAAGGAGAGAATGGTGTGGGGTCAGATTAGAGCAGCGGCCAAGAGCCAGGGCCTGGTGAAGAGTCTGTGTTTTACTCTAAGACAATGGGAAGCCTCATCAGGAAACACCATGACCTTGACTCTTCAGGTGCCACAAAGAGACTCACAAAATTTGGCATGTCTGTTGATATTATAGTTATACCCCAACTATGCGTTCCTGAAGGCAACATGCTTACCTCACCCTTCTGTTTGGCATGCGCGCATCTCTAGCACACTGAGCACCGCGTGCCAAATGAATTGTACTTCTGTTAGTTTGCTTTATCTTCCTACTGGTCCTAGTTAATGGTTAACATTTCCATTTTGTAAATGAGAAAAGCTCAGAGAGGTTGGTTTTCAAACTGAAATCTGGCTGATGCCATGGCTAATGGTCTGGCCTCCACAGCCCTGCATGTGTAGGGACTCGGAGCGAGTTGGCTGGGCAACAAAGAAGGATCCAGTTGTTCAAGTGGTATGATGCACAGAGTACAGGAGAGTCATCTGGCCAAAAACAGCACCCCTGCATGTGGACAGCAGTAGAAGATTTGCCTCATAGGACCTGGGGGTCTCAGCTACACTAGAGATAGGCTACCTGTAAGGATGAAGCACACATTTTGTCAGTGTCAGCTGTCGGATTAGCAGAGCATCCGGTGCTCTTAAGTAGTGCCTTGAAGGAACGGAGTGCAGGAAAGGTGCATTTGGAAGGAAAACACTAGTTCTAGAAAATGAAGTGTGGACATCGAAGATAGCATAGGGATGATGGGTGCTGGCAAAGATAATGATCATAATATAAATAAGACATACCAACCAGGTGTGGTGGCTCATGCTTGTTATACCAGCCACTTGAGAGGCTGAGAAGGGACGATCACTTGAGGCCAGGAATTCTCGACTAACCTGGGAAACATAGTGAGATCCTGTCTCTGCAGTAAATAAATAAACACATAAACAAACCGATGCCAATGAAAATAACTGGCATTTACTGAGTGCCGACTATGTACTAAGTATTGAATAAATATACCAGAGCTATTATCTTATGATGGTATTTCATAAATTTCTCTTAACAATCCTGTAACGTAGGCTTTACTGTGTTTCCTTGAGTCTACAAGGCCATCAACTAAACAAAAGCTTTTCACATAACAACATATATTAAACTTACACAATGAAGTTCTGCTGGGTTCTGCTTTTACCAGTGGAAAATAGAAAATGTTTATTTATAACATATCACTTTATTCTCCAGGATAACAATGCAAGTTTGAATCCAAGCCTTGATATTTCAAGAGTCTCCATGTTCAACTGATTATAAAAAAAAAAAAAAAAGCTAAATGACCTACCTGGGATTTCCTTGGTCCCTTTAGGATGGATAGTATCATCTAGATCAGAACAAAGGACACGGGTTCCTTCTGCATCTCCTGCGTTATTGAACTTGGAGCTTTTCCCCCTTAATTAGTTCATCTGTCTTTTGACTGAGAAATACTTCACGATGCATGACAATCTCACAACCTTTCCTGACTTTGAAAATCGTGTGAGCTAAACTTAGAGATTTGTCTGACTCTGCACGTGTGCCGGCAATGACATCCCAATTTATTCAACTCTGTCTAGTGACTGGCAAAGTTGTTGTTGTTGCTGTGTTAAGCATCGATAATAAGATGCAATCCTTTTTTTTTTTTTAAGTTTAGGTGTATCTTAGAATTGCGACACTGAAAGTTGAAGATATTAAGCCATTTACATCCCGAGTTATAGCGGGCGGGCGGTATAACTAGAGTCCATCTCAAGGCTATGATGACTTCCTTTCTTTCTCTCTTGAACCCTCTCCAATGAGGCCTTTCTTCCCACCACTCCATCAAAACTGCTGTTGTCAGACGAGATCGGGGTGGGTCAGCCTGTAATCCCGCACCTTTGGGAGGCTGAGGTGAGTGGATTGCCTGAGCCCACGGGTTCGAGACCCTCCTGGGCAGCGAGACTTCATCTCTACAATAAATCAAAAAATCAGCCGGGCGTGGTAGCGCATGCCTGTAATTCCGGCTACTCGGAAGGCTGAGGCGGAAGGATCGCCGGAGCCCAGCGGGTCGAGGCTGCGGTGGCCGGGAGCGGCCACTGCACTCCAGTCAGGGCGACAGAGTGAGACTCCAACTCAAAAAAAAAAAAAAAAAAAAAACTGCTGTTGTCACCAGCATCCTCCACATGGCCAAATTCATTGACCAGTTCTTGGCTGTCACCTTACTTTAACAACACTTGACACTATCCTTATGAAAAACATTATTATTACTATTATTATTATTATTAATCAGGGTCTCGCTCTCACCGAGGCTAGAGTGCAGTGGCATGATCACAGCTCATCACATCCTTGAACTCCTGGGCTCAAACAATCCTCCTGCCTCAGCCTCCTGAGCAGCTGGGACTACAGGCTCGCGCCACCATGCCTGGCTAATTGTTAAATTTTTTTTGAAGACACGAGGTCTCGCTCTGTTTCCTAGGTGGGTCTCGAACTCCTGAGCTCCAGCAATCCTCCCGCCTTAGTCGCCCAAAATGCTAGAATTGCAGGCGTGAGTCACCACACCCAGATGAAACAATTTCCTTACTTGGCTTTCTTAGGTCTCCTACATCTATTCACCATCAGAACCTTCTGCATCATTCTTCCTAATCCTCCTTACCTGCCCGACCTCCTGATGCCCGGAGGGCTCTGGGAACCAGTCCTGAGATTTCTCTTGTCTTTCTGTGTTCCCTCTCTGGTGACCCCCTGAGTCCTACAGCTGATATCTACCCTCACAACTTTGACATCTGAGTCTGCAGCTCCTGGCTGCCCACACAGCCTGCTGCCTACTCCTATCACTCCCTGGATGCCTAATAGGCAAACCAAATGTCTTCAACCAAGCTCCTATTCTCCACCCCCACCCCACCCTCAGCTGGCTCCTCTTGTGGTCTTTTGCATCTCAATACAGGGCAAATTTCTGCCTCCAGTTGCTTGGATAAATATACTGGAGTCATCCTCTAATCCTCTTTCTCCCACTCTGCATCCAACCCAATCAAAAATCCTATGAGATAGACCTTAAAATTATATCTAAAACTTAATCCACAGCTACCACCTTGGCCCACTTATTTGTCACTCACCTAACCAGCCCACTGCTTCCACCCCAACCCCTCGAGAGTCTTCTTTTCCACCCACCAGCCAGAGTGACCTTGCTCAGCCTAAGGCAGATCCAAGTGTCAGATGCTTGTGTCAACCCCAGCAAAGCCAAAGCCCTTATAACTAACTGCCCAGGCCCCTCGCTGTCTGGTCCCTGCTAGCTCCTGGCTTCCGCTTCTCCTGTGCCACCACCCTCACCTTGCTAACTATTCTCCAGCCAGACTGGTCCCATGTGGGTGCGCTACATAGCCAAGCCCCCTCTGCCTCAGGGACTCAGGGCTTTTATACTTGGGGCTTCTTCTGGTAAACTCTCTCCCCTCAGATTTCCACATGGCTTGCCCCTCTATTATTTATTTATTTATTTACAAAGCAGCAGGTCTTGCTCTGTTGCCCAGGCTGCTTTCAAAATCCTTGGCTTAGGCGATCTTTTTGCCTCAGTCTCCCAAAGTGCTGGGATCACAGGTGTGTTCCCCCTTCCTCCTTATTTTCTTGAGGTTTCTTCAAATGCTGCCCCAACAGAGAGGGCTCACTGCAAAAAAACAACCACCTCCCAGAATTCTGTTCTACTCTCTGCTCTTTTTTCTTTCATAGCACGTATGTCACTTGTTATAATAGACACTGGTCTGTTTATGGCATAGCCACACCACACTACGCCTAAGTCTCATGTGCAGGGACAGCCGCTGTTTTAGTCATTGCTGGGTCTCCAGTGCTTAGAGTAGAACCTGACTGAAGTAAGCTATCGGCAAATCAATGTTGAATTAGCAAAGAAAAGATGAGTAAAGGGCTGGGTCATGGGGAAAGAGCTGGGCTCTGGTGTGCATTTCTCTACTGCCCAGATCTGGCAACAACTACTCCTTAAACCACAGCCAAGGACTGTGCATGACAGGCCCTTTCCCAGGCAGACCTCTTTTGTTTGTTTGTTAGGAGTTGGGGGTCTCACTCTGTCGCCCAGGCTGGAGAGCAGTGGCACAATCATGGCTCACCACAACCTTGACCTCCCCGGCTCAGGCAGTCCTTCTACCTCAGTCTTTCAAGTAGCTGGGATGACAACGCCGCATCACCACACCCAGTTAATTTATTTTTTTATTTTTTATTTTTATTTTTTGAGTTGGAGTCTCACTCTGTCGCCCAGACTGGAGTGCAGTGGCCGCTCCCGGTCACCGCAGTCTCGACCTGCTGGGCTCCGGTGATCCTTCCGCCTCAGCCTTCCAAGTAGCCGGAATTACAGGCGCACGCTACCACGCCCGGCTGATTTTTTTGATTTATTGTAGAGATGAGGTCTTGCTGCCCAGGCGGGTCTCGAGCCCGCGGGCTCAGGCAATCCACTCACCTCAGCCTCCCAGAGGCGCGGGATTACAGGCTGAGCCACCGAGCCCGGCTTATTTTTCATTTTTTTGTAGAGACAAGGTCTTGCTATGTTGCCCAGCCTGGTCTCAAACTTCTGGGCTCAAGCAATCCTCTCGCCTCATATTCCCAAAGTTGTGCTGGGATTACAGGCACGAGCCACCGCGCCCAGCCCCAGACTGACTTCTGTCTTGTGTCTCTCTCCAGGCCTGCAGCTCTCCCAGGCTCCGTGTGGGGTTTGCTATGATCGCTGTCCCCCCACAGAACCAGGACTGCTCCTCGCTGCCACAGCTTCTCCAGGCCTCCAATTTGCCCTGCCCGTCTTTGTCCCCAGGCCACCATGGGCAGTGTCAGCAGCCTCATCTCCGGTCACAGCTTCCACAGCAAGCACTGCCGGGCTTCGCAGTACAAGCTGCGCAAATCCTCACACCTCAAGAAGCTCAATCGGTATTCTGACGGGCTGCTGCGGTTTGGCTTCTCCCAGGACTCGGGTCATGGCAAGTCCAGCTCCAAAATGGGCAAGAGTGAAGACTTCTTCTACATCAAGGTCAGCCAGAAGGCCCGGGGCTCCCATCGCCCAGATTACACGGCACTGTCCAGTGGAGACCTAGGGGCCCAGGCCGGGGTCGACTTTGACCCGTCCACGCCCCCCAAGCTCATGCCCTTCTCCAGTCAGCTAGAAATGGTAAGCAGGAAGTCTCTGGCAAGGGCGGAAAAAACGGAAAAACAGGAGAGGGGGATGGAGAGCATGGGAGGCCCGGGAAGGGGCTGACCTGAACATTTAGCTGTCAGGAGGCCAGAGCAGCAGGGGCGAGGGCAGAAGTCTTTGGTCACACCACAGAGATCAAAGGTTGGATGAGGGGATTCAAGCACTGGTCAATCCCCCAACCCAGAGGCCTCAGGAAAACTCCTAAGCAAACTGCAGAGGGGAAATGCATGCCTTCCTAAGCTCTGATGGAATGTAGCTGGCTTGTCAAGGTCAGACCCATGGAGGCATGAGCGAAGGTGTGGAAGAAGGAGAGAAGCTCTGTGACCGTCTGGATGTGCAGACGGAAGGGACTCAGGGAAGGGGCAAGCAGTTTCTCCAGAGCAGACTTGTGGGGTGGGTCTTCTCATTTGATGTCCTGGAGTGTAGTAGCTTCTTACTCCAACCAGACCAGAGGCGTCTTTGACTGAATAAGGACTGGGATTTTGTTATCATCAATTCTATTTTCTGAATCAGGGTCTCACTCTGTTGCCCAGGCTGGAGTGCAGTGGCCCAATCACAGTCCACCACAGCCTCAAACTCCTGGGATGAAGGGATCCATCCTTCTCAGCCTCCCGAGTAGCTGGGGCTTCAGGCATGCACTCCCGGCTAATTTTTTGATATTTTTGTAGAGAAGAGTTTTCACTATGTTGCCCAGGCTGGCCTAGAAATTCTGGGCCCCAGCAATCCTTCCACCTCAGCCTCCCAAAGTGCTGGGATTATAGGCATGAGCCACCACTCTGGGCCATTTCGGTGGCTCAGCCTCTAATCCCGCGCCTTTGGGAGGCTGAGGTGAGTGGATTGCCTGAGCCCGTGGGTTCGAGACCCGCCTGGGCAACTTGGCAAGACCTCATCTCTACAATAAATTAAAATGAGCCAGGCGTGGTAGCGCACTCCTGTAATTCCAGCTACCCGGAAGGCTGAGGCGGAAGGATCACCGGAGCCCAGCAGGTCGAGGCTGCGGTGGCCGGGAGCGGCCACTGCACTCCAGTCTGGGTGACAGAGTAAGACTCCAACTCAAAAAAAAAAAAAAAAAAAGATGAGGGCAAAAGAGTTCTAGAGTTCTAGGTCCTCAGGGATCCAGACTTCACGCCAGCTCAAGCGCTCCTGGGTCCCACAATGGACACAGAAATCAATTTTCCTATTCAGTTCCCTATGCCCGCCCTGGGAGAATGAATCCTTGGCTTTGATTTACAGGAAAGGGCCTCTTGTGTTTGCACAGAGCTTTCAGCTCTTCAAATTAAAGGGCTTGTAAACTGCAAAGCACTCTACCGATGAAAATTACAGTTTTTAAAAAGGATTGTTATTTCAAGTGATCCTCCGAACCCTGTGCGACCCAGGGTAGGAGTCCTGGCATGGGTGTCTCAGCCAGGGAGCCTAGGGAGACTTTATCACCTCAGGAGGTCCACTGGATTCTAGGGAGTCAAGTCAGGGTGGACTTTGACCTGTCCACCTTCCCCCACAAAGCTCATGTTCTTCTCCAATCAGCTAGAAACTGTTAGAGGAGTCTCCGGCAAGCGTGGGCAAGTCTGAAAGGCAGGAGAGAGTGAAATAGGGGAGGTGAGCATGAGGGGTGCAAGAGGGTGCCCTGGGTCTCTGTGGGGTAGGTAGGGATGTGAGACTGGGCAGACTTGGTGTCCTTGTCTAGGAAGATCCATTCTTCACCTTCCTGCCTCTTCCATTACTCCAGGAAGATGCTTATCATCTCAGGAGGGCTGGGGCAAGCTGGTGGCCTTGGTCTCCCAAAGTGCTGGGATGACTATTTCATAGAACAAAGTGCCCAGATCACCATTAAGGTCATTCTCCAGGGACAGAGAATTTTCTCCTTTTTTTTTTTTTTTTAAGTTGGAATCTCACTCTGTCCCCCAGACTGGAGT